CTCCATCCCCTTCCTTCTCCTCCTCCATCCCCCTCCATCCCCCGAATCTCCTCCTTCTCCTCCTTCTCCCTCCTTCTCCTCCTTCTCCCTCCTTCTCCTCCTTCTCCCTCCTTCTCCTCCTTCTCCCTCCTCCTTCTCCCTCCTCCTTCTCCCTCCTCCTTCTCCCTCCTCCCATCTCCCCCTCCTTCTCCTCCTCCTTCTCCCTCCTCCTCCCTCCTTCCATCTCCCCCTTCTCCATCTCCCCTCCTTCTCCCTCCCTCTCCTTCTCCCCCCTCTCCCTCCTTCTCCATCTCCCCCTCCACCTCCTCCCCCCTCCCCTCCATCTCTCTCCTCCCCCCATCCCCCTCCAATCTCCTTTCCTCCATCTCCTCCTCCACCCCTCCCATCCATCCCTCCACATTCCCAACCCCTGCCAAACCCTCTCTGGGTCCTTCTCCTCCTCCCTGGGACATTGCCCAAAGGTTCCAGGGCACTTTTAGGTCACCCTGACCCACCTCATGGTCCTGAGGAGCCACAAGGACTTTGCCCTTGGTCTCCTTCACCTGGGTGGGACTTGGTCACCTGCTCACCAGGGTTTGAGGTGGATCTTCCTGGAACCATGGAGGTGGTTTGGGGTTGGGAGGGACTTCAAGGATCATTTAGATCCAACCCAAGGAGGGAAAATAATTAAATGAAGCCCAGGAAACCTGATGAGGCCCAAGCAATGAAGTTCCCCCCCCATAAAAAGGGCAGATCCCAGTCATTCCTCCTTCCTTCCCACCCCCAGGAGAAGCTCCAGGCCCGTCTGGAAACCCTGAGGAAGGAACGTCAGGATCTGCTGGAGTTCAAGGTCAACGACGACAGGAGGACCCAGGAGCTGCTGGTGGGTCTGGGGAGGAACCTTCTCCAGCCTTTCCTGCCTCTTCCTCCTCTTCCTCAGCTCCTGGAGGGATCTGGGGAGGCTGGAGGGACCTCCTGGAGGGATCTGGGGGGACTTGAGGGACCTCCTGGAGGGATGTGGGGGACTGGAGGGACCTCCTGGAGGGATCTGGGGGGACTGGAGGGACCTCCTGGAGGGATCTGGGGGGACTTGAGGGGCTGGAGGGACCTCCTGGAGGGAACTGGGGGGAGTTGAGGGGCTGGAGGGACCTCCTGGAGGGATCTGGGGGGAGTTGAGGGGTTGGAGGGACCTCCTGGAGGGATCTGGGGGGACCTGAGGGGCTGGAGGGACCTCCTGGAGGGATGGGGAGCTCCCTCCAGGAGCTGATGGGGAAAACCTGAATCCTCCCCACGTTTCTCCCCAGAAAACCATCGAGACCGAGAGGCAGAAGCTCCTCCTGGAGTTCGAGAAGCTCCGTCAGTTCCTCCATGACCAGGAGAACATCCTGCTGGGGCAGCTGGAGAAGATGGAGAAGAACATCTCCAAGAGGCAGAACGAGAACATCACCGACCTCTCCAGGGAGATCACCCTCCTCAACAAGCTCATCAAGGAGCTGGAGGAGAAGATCCAGCAGCCCATGCTGGAGTTCCTCAAGGTGAGGTGGTTGGGACCTTCTGGGGGTGGTTTTTTTGGGGTCTTCTGGAGGTGTTTTGAGGAGAAATGTCTTCATAGCTCATAGGGTGGTTGGAGAAGACCTTGAACATCTTCAAGTCCAACCACAAAACAGCCTCATCAGGTGGTTCTGGTTGGAGAAGACCTTGAACATCTTCAAGTCCAACCACAAACCAGCCTCATCAGGTGGTTCTGGTTGGAGAAGACCTTGAACATCTTCAAGTCCAACCACAAACCAGCCTCATCAGGTGGTTCTGGTTGGAGAAGACCTTGAATATCTTGAAGTCCAACCACAAAACAGCTTCACCAGGTGGTTCTGGTTGGAGAAGACCTTGAATATCTTCAAGTCCAACCACAAAACAGCCTCATCAGGTGGTTCTGGTTGGAGAAGACCTTGAATATCTTGAAGTCCAACCATGAAACAGCCTCACCAGGTGGTTCTGGTTGGAGAAGACCTTGAATATCTTCAAGTCCAACCATGAAACAGCCTCACCAGGTGGTTCTGGTTGGAGAAGACCTTGAAGGTCACCAGGTCCAACCACAAAACAGCCTCATCAGGTGGTTTTGGTTGGAGAAGACCTTGAATATCTTCAAGTCCAACCATGAAACAGCCTCACCAGGTGGTTCTGGTTGGAGAAGACCTTGAAGGTCACCAGGTCCAACCACAAAATACATTTTTCTTGGACCTTTTCAACTCCCCCCCCCATAAATTCCACCTCTAAGTTGGGTTAGACCACTGAAGAAGCCACCACCAAGTTTGAGGCTGGTTCCTCCAACCAACCAGCTCCTTCCTTGCCTTGATGACCAACCCGTGAATGTTTAATTATCTATTTTGATTAATTAATTGCACTGGTGGGACTTGTTGAACTCCTGGAGGCCCCCAAGGGGTTAAATTCCCTCCAAACTCTGTCGAAACCTCCTCAAATATTTGCAGTTGCCTCCAGGACTGGGCCAGGAGGTGGAAACTCATCCCACGTGGCCTTTTCTTCTTGGAACAACAGGTGCTTTATTTGATTTTTAGATCATTTTTCATTAAACACACTTAATTAAATTAATGATCTTGAATCCAAAAGGCCACGTTGGAAGGTCCTGACCAGCTCCAGGGTCTTCTCCTGCCCCCCCTTGGAGATCAGTTGGGCCTTGGCCAACCTGCCCACCCTTCCTCCCCCTCTTTCTTTCCTTTCTTTGTTGCTTTTATTTAATTTACATGAATTTACATTCTTTTTTTTCAAAGCTGTTTTTAGTTCTACATCTATTTTTTACCTGTATTTTAAAACCTGGGTATTTTCTTTTATATTTTATAAATTATCTTATATTATTTTTAGAGTCTTATATTATTTTTTGAGTCTTATTTTTAGAGTCTTATATTATTTTTAGAGTCTTTAATTTTTAGAGTCTTTAAAAAGATCAATAATTTAAAATATAAAGTCTTTATACCCTTTTTAATGCCCCTGCCTTTAGTGCCCCCTTTAAAATGCCTTTTTAAAATGCCTTTTAATACCATTTAAAAAATACATATAATACCTTTTTATCCTCCTTTAAAAAGACCTTTTTAATGCCCTTAAAATACCATTTAATACCTTTTTAATTCCCTTAAAATACCCTTTCCAATACCTTTTAATACCAATTTAAATATATGTATAATACCTTTTAATTCTCCTTTTTAAAAGACCTTTTTAATACCTTTTAAATACATTTAAAGTACCTTTAAAACACCTTTTTAATACCATTTTAAAAATATGTATAATACCTTTTAATCCTCCTTTTAAAAAGACCCTTTTAATATCCTTTAAAATACCCTTTTTTATACCTTTTTTATACCCTTTTTAATACCCCACAAGAGTTTTCTCTCCATCTTTTTCCTTCCTAGGACGTGGTGACCATCATCAGCAGGTATGAAGCTCAATCTTCTTCCTCCTCTTCCAACCTGTTCCCACCCCCACCAGCACCATTTGAAGGTCAATCACATTCAGGCCCCCAAAAAACAACATTTAGGCCCCAAAAAGCAACAGTTTGGCTCAAAAAGTGAGATTCAGGCCCCAAAAAATTACACTTAGCCCCCAAAAAATGATATTTAGGCCCCAAAAAGTGAGATTCAGGCCCCCAAAAAAGGCATTTAGGCCCCAAAAGGCACCAGTTTGGCCCAAAAAGTGAGATTCAGGCCCCAAAAAGCACCGGTTAGGCTCCAAAAGTGAGAGTCAGGCCCCAAAATATGACATTTAGGCCCCCAAACCCGACATTTAGGCCCCCAAAAGCACCAGTTAGGCCCAGAAAGTGAGATTCAGGCCCCAAAAAGTGAGATTCAGGCCCCCAAAAATGACATTTAGGCCCCAAAAATGACATTTAGGCCCCAAAAAGTGAAAATCAGGCTCAAAAAGTGAGATTCAGGCCCCCCCAAAAAACTTTCAGGCCCCTGGAAATGACATTTAGGCCCCAAAAAGCAACAGTTTGGCTCAAATGTGGGACTCGGGCCCCCTCATTTCCCCCCTCATTTCCCCCCTCTATTTCCCCCCCTTATTTCCCTCTATTTCCCCCCATTTTC